TTCGGTCGACCCCCTAAATTTTGGAAGTGAATATATTTATGATCGTAGATTAGAACATAATAAAACAAACAGTATTAATTAAAATAATTATCATCGTTTAAATCACTTGACTCAGTGAGGTAACTATCAGACTCGGTCGAAATTGCATAGTAATGAGCATTTAGGTGGCATCGAGATTTAAATGTCTATCGTGAAGTTATGCCGTCTCAGCTCAACAGAAGCCAACCAAAACAGGTTGTTATAAACAGGCAAGCTTTTATTCACTCTCTGAATGATGTGGTGGTCCTGAATAGGGCAGTTTGTCTTGTGCTAATGTTCGCTCAGTTAGTAAAGTGTGGAGATCGAACGGGATTGACACGACAACACCACACTGTCGAAAAAAATAAAAAAATGTTATTTAACACACCAGAATTTTATTGGAAATTACAAACACGTGTTTTTATAGAGAAATGTGAGATTCAGGATCAGAACCGTACGCATGGTTTAAATTACTGTTGAGATTCGCGTTGAGTGGTTGTTGAAAAAAACTGTCGTCGGAGGTTTCAAAATATTTGCCAACATGTATGAAAACAATTTTATATTTTGAAGATAGCTGAAACACAAAGAAGTGGTAGTATTTCAGTATTTAACCCGGATTTAAAAAATAGTACTCTGTCAATCGCGTGACCACACGTGATATCGTGTCGAGAAATGGGACGTTTTGTTTATCACGTGAGTCAATGCATGATGACACTAACCGTAATAACCACCATTATATTAACAATGAATAAAGTGATGCATGTATACCAATCATGCGTGATATCATCATATTATGGATATATGTACTTAAGTTTTTATTGTTACTTATCTGTCAGGTTCAAACTTTAATTTGGCAAAAATATTTTTTTTTAGGTCGCTGCGTTCGCCAGTTCGTCACGACTTTGTTTTGGCTTTCTGCCAAAATATTATACTAAATGAATGAGGAAAAAACGGACAATTTTTGAACATACCATGGCTAAAAATGGGCCCATTTTTGTAACCTTGTCAGTTTTAAAATATGTGTTGTTGTATTTGCTAGTTTTAACAAGTAAAGGTGTAATTTACAATCTGCATAATTAGCACAGTACACCTGACATAATATAATGTATATCGTGTCCAGTGCCATTCAGCGACTTACCACGGCAGACCCATTTGGCTAGATGCCAGCAGATCGTCACGGGACAAAATAACTGACGTCACATCACGTCACGACTCCCTTCAACACACACTGTTTGTAATTCTTGTGGGCACTGTCGATCTGTTATTTTTATCCTATTATGTCTGTGACATTTCGCAACAGAATTCGATTTCCGACGTAGTCGATCGATCAAATCGTCGAAAGATCACTCATCTGAATTCTATCATGTCTTTAACTGCATTAATATAAATGACGCCACTCAACACGGCGTCTTACGCTTTCAATTGAAATTCGATTAATACAAACACCAACGTCGTCGCGCAATTTGCTTAAATAGCATGCCGGGGTTTTCGTATAAACGTCATAAACGTTAAATATAGTAAACTTATTGTCATTTGTCCTAAATGTATTAAGCAGGCGAGACAGAATTATCACATTTTTTGTTTGTTTTAGAAATAATTACAAATTTAATCATCATCAACTACATCTCATTTGTTAACCGGCATAATCTATGTTTTGGAGACAGGCTATTTACAAATTATAAAAAATTATAACTCCCGTAAAAATTAAATCCATGTAAAATGATTAATCATCAGACTATCCCACTATTTCTATGACAACCATAAATACCCATCTCATAAACATTATATAGCATATTCGTTATATGTCTCTGACCAAAATTGTGAGATTTGTTGAGTCATTTCACGAATCGACTGTTTCATGTATGTATGATGTATGTATGTGTTTTATGGAAGAACCAATCAGATGGTTCAATTTGTTCAGGTAGTTATACCAATATTTCAAGTTGTAGCACCGAGTGGCAACGTCATGGCGTCGTTTCAGCGCAGCAAATAGAGACTGGCGATGTCACCCCAGCAACCCTGATACCTCAAAAACGCTGGCGAGTATTAACCGGTCGAGACTTGTTATAAAATTGTTCGCAGTAATATTGAATGGCCAATGAATTTTAGTTGGCGCGCTTTCCATATACGGGATGTCATTCACTTGTGGGACTGCCTTCGTTAATATAATGTTGCTGTTTCCAGGCTACCCAATTTACTGCATTCATTGATCATGTAATAATAATAATTATAATAATCTTTATTGAACTCATATCTTCATTGGGATTTTGAATATATGACAATAAAGACAATAATGAAGAAGGAATATACAATATAATATAGTTGTATATATAAGAAACTTCACTGTAATGGGACACTCCAACCTCGCTTATCATCGTAAATCAAATCTTATCCTATATCTCCAAGCCCATGTTTGAAGTGTGACTCATTTTTGGAATGCACAAGTGACCCCAAACATGCACCCAGCTCCATGCCCAAATGACGTCTCACTTGGTATGTAAACAATAATAATAAAATGCATGTAGCTCCCAACAGTGATATTTTGAATGGCCGCACAGAGCTCATTGAATTCCACGTAAATGTATTTTACACGCGTTGCATATGCCGAATGACGAGACCCATATCGCACAGGACTTGTTGAGACAACCACCACCCACCCAGACATGTGTTATCTAACAATAAATAAATAAATAAATAAATAAATAAATAAATAAATAAATAAATAAATAAATAAATAAATAAATAAATAAATAAATAAATAAATAAATAAATAAATAAATAATAATAATAAAGGAGATAGTACATATGTAACAACATTAATAATGACATTGTTACATAAATGTTCAACCATTTTTGTTCTAGTCAAAGTGCCTGACGTCTTATGAATAATGTTTCCGCGCTGTGGTTCGTGGTCCCAGGCAAACATGTTAACGATCAGTATATTACGTGAACACTTACTATTCCAAATATGACCCTCGTCCCCGAACCCGCGAACTACGGTTAAGGCGTCGACCATTTTATATCATGGGGGTCGTTGAAGAATTATTAGAAAACATGCAAGCAAGCCTGAGACACCAAGAGAAAACAATCATGCCAGCTGTTGTAGGAAAACAAATGTTGACATATTGAGAAAAAATAAAAATGTGCAGACACCGCGAAAAAAAAACGCTCCTCCAGTCACCTCCTATGATTTCAAATGTTTGACCCCCAAACCAGGAATCAGACACAAGATCCCGGCTACCCGGAAACGGGGAGTGTTGAAACGGTTATTTAGTGACAGTGCACGCATGTGTACAGGATTACTATACTCTCACTCATATTTGCATAATTCCTCATGTCGTGTTACGCTTTGCGACTACATGCCACTATTTTATCTTGAGAAATACAGCGTTTCGGCGTGATCGTGATAAGTGACAGCCGATATGGCGGTTGGATTACTTCTTATATTAATTTGGATGTTCATATGTCTTGTCTGGCAGCCGCTTATCGTAGTTTCCGAAGGTAAAGTCATTATTTATTAAGTTTCCTGCATGTTATGCGTGTGTGTATATACAAAATGTGTGCTGTCGGCCATTACTCGTCAGGGAGCGGACGGCTTACGTTTCATTCCATACTTGTATATTTTAATAACTACTTCATACTGGCGGTACACAAGGAAAATAGTAACTAAAACGTCCAGTACACATGATTACATTGAATTATTCTAGAAACACTGGCATAGGAATACGAATATACACAAATGCATTACGTCCGTCTGTGACCGCACTATTTGATACTCGCGGTGCTCGATTGGCACACGATGTTCATTTACTCCAAAACGAAACACAATTAATTGTAGCATTTCTGGTATAATATTATTAACGCTAAGTGTCTGGGATACGAGCACATCTGATCAATATTTTGGAGTCGTCCATATTAGCAACAACGTGACACGTGCTTTGGCTGAGCAGTGACCTTGACATGACTTAGTACGTTCCCAAATTTTCGATTCCAGTATTAAAATAAATAAATAAATGACATCACACATGACCCGTGCTGCTCTTTAAATATACCCAATTCTGTGTTTAAACCCTATAGTCTGAATACAAATTTTGGTTGAGACGATAAACAGTCTACTGTAGTCGTGACATAGTTTGTTGTTGCCGGCGTGTTATGATAATTTTTCCATTGGGTCACATGATGACAGTAGATCGACTGAAACACGTCACATATTTAATAGAGCTTGAAACCAATTTGAGTCACTCTGTGTTGTAACAACTCGTTTTGTTGTGTTGGATTCAAAACACTGTCTTAGTGCAGGTCTAGTCTGTAAATATATCGGTAGACAAATTTGAACCTTTAAAAATGGCCCCTCCCAAATCTGTTTTAGAATATTTCAGTTATGTTGTAGTGGTAGGGAATGAAACTCGCATCTACGTTTGATGCAGCTATCATGCGTTTTTTTTTTTTCAATTTACAGTTGATTATTTCACAAAATCCTCTCATCCTAGTTTCCAAATTTATTTATGTCAATCATTTGTTAAAATTTGTGGGTATTACATATGTCAATGTATTTCCTCAAGTTACAGTGAGCTATTAAATTATTCACACCCTACCTTATTAGGGAATTTTAAATAAGGAACAATGATGAAAAATAGCGAACGATAATTCCTCTATTTTCGATCAGACATCAAAAGAGGAAGATGTATGAGGGTATCGTATGTGGAGATCGGGAAGTCTGTACTGAATGGTTTGTTGATGCTTCCTGTAGTATTAGTTCATATAAACTTTATGATTTATTTATAATAACATCCTGTACACCTACTGTATGTAGTTACTGAACTATGTCAACAATGGTAATCTGAATGATAAGAGACTTTTTATATTTTACAATTTTACTAACTTTGGAAATATGTTATGAATTTAAAGAAGTTTTGGAAAGACCAGACCTTCATAAACATTTTGATTTTTCTAAAAAAAAAAATCTGAAATTTTTTGTGGACATGTATAATAAATCTTGTTTTATACTGATGATACAGTCAAGTTTTCTCAACTCGCTATATCTGGTGAAGCTTATTATGATAATTGCTTTGAAAATTATGGAAAATCATATTTTTGAATAAATTAATGATTTTGAGTTTCAGTATCTTAATATACGCTAAATGTAGTTTTTTAAAACTTTTTACCTGAAATTGTCTGTATTTAAAAAAGTTAAGAAATTCTTAAAATACTTATTAAATAAGCAAATTAATCCATATTACAATAGGCAATTCATGAGGGAACAGAAGCCGTAGCCTGAATCACCTATTTTGTGCATAGACAGAAAAATATCATATTGCCTATTCTTTGTCGCATAATTCCAATCATTGGAAATGTATTCTAGATGAATGTTGATGGTTTTTATTATAATACCAGTTAATAATTTTGATAAGTTAATCTGCTGTGTCTATTTTTAAATGAAGACTAAATTACATTCTTTAATTGTTACAAAAATCATATTTAAAAAATCGAGTTTTATATTTCAGAAGTATCGTCTTGCGATAAGTGACGTTAGACCAATAACAATAAGAGTGCAAAATGTTTCAGAAGTTATTTTATTTTACAGAATTTGATTGGGCAAAGTATACAAC